CTATGCACAAGGTAACCAAGTAAAACCTATAAATAATAGTGTGCAGAACTAAAAATATTATAAAAAGTTAAAAAGGTGTATACAAGTATTATAAATATTCACGAAATAATTCTCAAAAGTAAACTCATGCGATATAAAAAAAATATAGAAGTTCATAAAGTGACTTTCAGTGCTCAAATATCCTATGCAATCCTGGAAACGGTGCTTGTGCAATCAGGTGTGGAAGAAATGCGCACTCTCCGGAACGCACAAATTAGTGTGCGTTTTATAATAAATCCTGATGTCATCTCAGGCAGGCCAGGGATAGAGAAAACTCCCTCTTATGGTGGATGGATCCTGGGACTTTAAGATGATGTATCAGGGCTTCCAGATTTCCCCTTAAGGGATGGATGGGTGCAGCTCACTGGGTGTAATAGAGGCTCCCTCTCTGGAAACTGGGTGGTGGAGGGCTGTAAATCAATATTCCCCAAGGGAGTCAAGGCAAAGACACACCCATAGTGTAGTAATTTAGAACATTTATTTCGATAAAACTAGGTATCCAGATAATAACACATAGGGTGAGTAAGCAAAAGCACATGGACTGACCGTCCAGAGTTAAAGATGGCCGCTGGAGCTCCACGTTGCTCCGACGGCGTGACGTCACAGCGGTCCTGGCTCCTTGTGCGTTTTGTGAACCCGCACTTCATCTGAGGGGAACGCCAAGCTGCGTGCCGTCAGTTTATACAGCCGATGGCGCATGCGCATTAACATGCGCCATCTTTGAGAAGACCGGACTTAATGTGCACGCGCAGCTAAGCGGGCACCATTTTTCCTTAGGTATTTTAAATGATACAAGCTCGAATGACAACTCCAAGTGTCAGCAAATAAATAGGAAATATTAGGTAGTAGTGTGATCCAGATAGGTAAGTTAGTAATTAATTGGTGGATCAAAAAAAGGATATATAAGAGAGGGGACATCAATTGAGCGTCCTAATTCGAGGCACATACCGAGGGAAAAATGTAAGCTTCGGTCTCATATATACAAAGGGGAAACATACAATCTAAAACATTATAATTCTCGACAATATATTCTATAATCATTAAAAGTTATATAAGAAAAGCATACAACAATTGTATGTAGTGTGTAAACATGTAATTATAAAATATGATATAAATAAGATAAAAAATATGATAAAATGTTGGGAAATACTTCATGACTACACATGATCAAATAATACTAATATCAAAAAAAGGGAGAAGTAATATTTAACAGAAATTATACAAAATATGAATATAAAAATGTGCAGTAAAATGGGGGAAAATTAAATAAAAAAGATATAAATCCAATTGTATGTCTTTATACTAAATATAGACTAGAATAGGACAGAATTGGTTCTAGCTATATTTGCATACAATAAAAATGTGACATTAATAACAGGGTAAATGAATATCATTATAATGGGAAATATTAGCGGTTGCTAATCAAGCAGTTTACATTGATATCAATATTGTGACCGTATGGATGCAGTGTACGGAGTTTCCGGAGTATCCAACGTATCTTAAGGTGAGAAACCGCTCGTAACCTATTAGTGCCTCTCCAATGGGGTTGTATGGTATCGATCCCTACAAATTGTAAAGATAACGGGTCTTTATTGCGTTTACGCCTATAATGGTTTGACAGGGAGTGTTCCTTGTAACCTTTTTTAATAATATTCACATGTTCTCTTAACCTGTCACGTAAACGTCTAGTGGTACGTCCTATGTATTGGAGGTTACAGGGACATTCTAGGAGATAAACTACATATTTGCTTTTACATGTGATACATTTATCAATGTTGTAGTAACTTCTTGTCACTTGTGAAATAAAAGAGGTTTTCTTATATTTCCTATTATTTTTTACTGTGCAGATAATGCATTTGTTGCATGGAAGAAACCACTGAGTTTAGAAAAAAAGGAGATTTTCTCTGGTGGGTTAATGACATTGGGCGCTAAACGATGGCGTAAGGCCGCTGCTTTCCCTAAAATGATCTCCGGTTTATTTGGCAAGATCTTGGAGAGGATAGGATCTGTTTTTAGACCATTCCAATTTTTGTTGATAATATAGTTGATAGCTCTATGTTGCATAGAGTATGTAGTTATGAAAGGGCACACCTGGGTCCAGTTTTGTTTATCTTTATCTTTTATTAAGTCAGCCCTGTCAGTCTACTAACTTAATTGTATCGTCCAAATTCTGTTTAGAGTATACCTTTTCAAGGAATTTTTGTTTTAAATTTTGAGCCTGCAGATGGTATGTATCGAGATCCGTGCAGTTCCTCCTAATTCTTAAACACTGTCTCTTTGGGATGTTTGCCAACCAGACCGGATGATGGCAACTACCCAATGGGATGAAGCTGTTTCTGTCTGTTTTTAAAAAAAATTATTTGGTTGTAGTGATTCTCCCATTAAAATTGAATACAGTAAGATCAAGGAAACTGATCTCCTTGGTACTGTAGGTATAAGTAAAAATCAATATTAAGTTTATTATCATTTAATGTGTTAAAAAAATTAATTGAGGTTTGTTCCTCCCTGTTCCACAATAAAAAATATATCATCAATATACCTTTTATAAAAGATGAGTTCAGGCCAATCCCTGGCGAAAATTAAAAATTCCTCCCAATATGTCATAAATAAATTTGCTAGGCTGGGGGCAAATTTAGCCCCCATTGCAACACCTTTTGTTTGTAAAAAGTATTTATGGTCAAACCAAAAGTAGTTTTTTTTGCATAGAAAACTGTAATAATTGCAGAATAAAATCAATATAGGGAGGTGATAAGGTGCTTAGTGTATCTAAATAAAACTTAGCTGCTTCCATGCTGTCCACATGTGCGATGTTGCTATAAAGGGAAGTAACATCAGCTGTTACAAGAAATGTGTTTGAGGTATTTGTGATGTCCTATGTCGTTTCTAATATGTTGTTTTGTATCACGTAGAAAGGCAGGGGTCTGTGATCTAGTGGCTGCAAAAAGTAGTCAATATCTTTCATCTGCTTTTGAGCTGGAGTGACCCTTATACCGCTAACTATTGGTCTCCTGATGGTTTTATCGGATCCTTATGAATTTTCTGGGGGAGAGGATATAAAATACTGGCAGTTTTGGTGCTGTGGGGCAATGTCGTTCAATATGTGTTTTGTATCACGTAGAAAGGCAGGGGTCTGTGATACTAGTGGCTGCAAAAAGTAGTCAATATATTCATCTGCTTTTGAGCTGAGTGACCCTATACCGCTAACTATTGGTCTCCCTGATGGTTTTATCGGATCCTTATGAATTTTTGGGAGGATATAAAAAAACTGGCAGTTTTGGTGCTGTGGGGCAGAGAAAGTCTTTCTTTTTTGTTAATTACACCGTCTTTAAACCCTTTTTTAATAATATTTTTCAGGCCACGTTTGAATGATGGGAGGGGGTCATTAGATAGAGTGTGTGTCTCTGAGGATATTATATACTTCGCTAATATAATCAGTTATATTAAGTATGACCACTCCCCCTCCTTTGTCAGCTGGCCTGATCACTAAATCTTTCCTTTCCAAGAGTAATTCGATTGCTTTAGTAGACTCAGATTTGGAGGGCTGTTTAATCTTTAGCTCCTCTAGGTCTTTCAGAACGAATTCCTTAAAAAACTGACCAGTGTTCTAATCCCTCTCCACTCTGTCCAAAAGTATAAAAAAAAATAGTTTGCCTTTAGTTATATTTTAAGTGTGTGTGTAATGCTTGCTCACCCCCCAGCCACTTTGGTTCCTCCGTCCAGTCTGTCACTACAGAATGTGCAAGTTGGAAGGAACCACAGCATGTGGTGAATGCAGCAAGTATTCGACTCGTTGAACTGTTTGAATACTTGCAGCCACTGGGCAGCATGGAAATGGCAGCTTTGTAATACACAAAACTCTGGAAAGGCAAGTATATTCCCTCTTCTTTTACTGGTGGACTATTGATTAAAAGTAACCCTGTGGTAAAAATAATTGGGGTGTGGGGAGGGGGAAAATGAAAACAATTACTTCTGCATAGATTTTTCTTCATTACTAATCTCCAGTACTGTGACTATGGCTAGGTTCAAACCTATGCAGTTTGCGTTTGATCCGATTCTGCAGTACGTTTTGTGGTGTGTTTTTTCACACATGCGTTTTTGATGCATTTTGTGTTTTTTTTTTTTTTGTTTTTTTAAAATCTTGTTGCTAGGCAGATTTAAAATGCAAAACGCAGACAAAATACACTACATGCTTTTCTTCAGCGTTTTTTAATGAAGTCTATAGAACCAAAAACACAACTTTTTTTGTTTAAAAAAAGTCACTGACCCTTTCCAAAAATGCATCGGGTGAAAACGCGGAGATGTGAACCTGTCCCTTAGGAAATCATGCTAAATGGACTGTAGTGTGTTTCTGAAAAACGCTGTGGAAAATGCGTAGGTGTGAACCTGGGGTAAAATAAAGGCAGGCTTTTTGATTTGGCACTCAAAATCCCAGAGTTTCTTACATTTAGGCAATACTCCACTATGCACTACAACCTTGAGGAATTGGGGGTTGTTTGCTAGAGTAGAGACTGTTCACTTATTAGAGTGAATACTCAATTTGGAATGCTCATATTCACTGAGCTTAGCAAGTAGGTAAAGCTATGTCCACTATCTACTATCTATATATATATATATATATATATATATATATATATATATATATATATATATATATATATATATATATATATGGACATAGCTTCACCTATGTCCATATATAATAATAATAATTATATATATATATATATATATATATATATATATATATATATATAGTGGGAACTCGCTTCAAAGTGGTAGAGCTTTTAAACGCACACAGCTACTCGCTTTCTTTTTCAGGGCCTTTTTAGCCCACTTTTATTTAAATGAAAGTTCAAAACAGAAGTTTCCCACACAGGGGTATCGATCATCCACATAAACAAAATTCAGCCTCCTGGCTCTCTCAGATATACAATCTTCCACTGGCTTTCTCTTCAGGCTTACGTCTGACTCCTGCAGACCCTTTCCAAAATATGGCACTTACACACAGCTGGCCACTAGCACATAGCTACTACCAAGCAGCTCCTTGCCGCTTTTGGCTTCCACCTCTCCTTGGTGGAGCCCTCCTGACTCCCTATCTGCCAGGGTGGAGCCCAGAACTCTGATCTTGACTCTCTGAAAAGGCCTGCACACACCTGTGCAATCAGTCTCCTGGCCATTCCCAAAACCTGGTGCCAGGATTGGAGATTTCATCCCTCCCAGATCTCTTTGAAATCTCCAGGCTCCAGATCCCAAAACAGACCTTACAAACAAAGGAGGAAAGTGAAAAGCCACTTTCCTCCATATCAAACACTTACCCTGGAGCCCCTCAACCTGCCTAGTTGAGAATCCTGGGTGACAGATAGTCACACTGTCACAATATATATATATAAAACAGCGGTTTTGCTTGTACATGATTTTAATGGTTGAATTGATTGGTTGAATTACTTTTTTTTTAACTTCTCTGAAGTTAAAGTCAAATTATTGGAGACTTTGCATGGCTCTTATGAAAAACTATATAAAGCCAGCTCTATCTAGATAACTGAATTTTGGAAAATAGATGAAGCATATTATTGAGCCCATTTCAATTGGGTCTATTAAAATACACCCTTCAGTTTGACAAAACTAGCATCTGTGGCTGTAACAACAAAATGAAGGCACCCAGGCAAGGCACACCTTTGTGAGTATCCCAGGTGCCATAAAAGGCTTGTCTACCACCTCTCTATTGGTCTATAACTTTGATGGGTGGCCTCACTAGTAGGGGTATCTGACTGCAAGATTGGCTAAACAGAAATAAATATCCTTTGGCAAATAAAACAGTTCACATACTGCATATGTTTTTTTAGTTGAGTTCAGTGTTAATAACAACTGTCGTTATTTTCTGTAGGCCGATATCTGTTATGACCTGGTCTTCTTCCTTTTTTTTTTTTCTTTTTTTTTTTTAATTTGACACTATTGGCCCTAATATGTTTCCAGTATATCTGTGTTTGAGTCTTGTGTATGAAAACAAATACCCTTGGTTATGTGTGCTTCCCTTAGGCTAGGTTCACACCTGAAGCAGTGCAAATTCTTCAGTTTTCAAGTGCAGTTCAGCTTTGATAGCAATGTTTTTTTTCCTGCGATTTTCATACAGTTGCGTTTTTTGATTAATACCCTAGGGCAGGGGTGGGCAACTGTGGCCCTCCAGCTGTTGTAGAACTACAAGTCCCAATAGGCATTGCAAAACTGACAGTTACAAGTATGACTCCCAAAGGCAGAGGTATGATGGGACTTGTAGTTCACCAACAGCTGGAGGGCCACAGTTGCCCACCCCTGTCCTAGGGGTATATATCTTTGGAAACCAGTTCAGTAACACACAAGAGACTTTGCAAAAAAGTTCTGGATTAGATTTTCATACAGTTTCAATTTTAGATTAATGCCCTAGGGCAGTGATGACGAACCTTGTAGAGACTGAGTGCCCAAACTGCAACCCAAAACCCACTTATTTATCGTGAAGTGCCAACACTGCAATTAAACCTGAATACTGAGGTTTTATTTTAGAGAAAAACAACTCCTATGTTAACATCTTTTGTCTTAAAAGAAAAACGCAATAACAGAGCTTCCACTGACCACCAGCACAAGGGGACAAAGTTACACTGATCACCAGCACAAGCTAAAATCTTGTGTTTAATAAAAATGAATGTATTAACTCATAGCAGTCCAATATATATATCCTTGACAGCGCATTGACTGGCTATGCGAAAGCTCGGACAAGTTGCGGCTAATGAGTCGTGGCTCATGACGTCATCGCCTGGCACCGCTACTCCTTTTCAAGCATGCACATGGCCCCTATGTGCGCTGTTAACTGATGCTCGGCTGCCGGGGCGACTTGGCTTGTGTGCGACAGAGAGGGCTGTGCATGCCCACTGTGGCACGCAGGCCATAGCTTTGCCACCACTGCTCTAGGGGGTCTCGCTATCTCTCCCTTTCTGGAAACCAGCTCAGTAACACACAGGAGACTTGGCAGAAACGCACTGGAATTGCATATGATTGTGAGCAGATAAGAATTTCAAATGTGATTTACATTCAACTATGGACTTCAAAATTGGATCGCACCACTCCATAGATGCACACGACCTTATTTCAAAATGCACTGCGTGTGGACTGCATAGATGTGAATGACCTCCATAGGATTTAATTTATTTTTCATGTCATACAAATCACTGTGGTCTAAAACACATCCAAAACCTCCTCAGTGTGAACCAGGGCTTAGCCAGTGGGATTTTTATTATCATATGTTAATGTATTTTAGCTTAATATATTGCTCTTGGGGTTGATGTGTGTTTTGAAGCATACATGAACTATGGGAACATTCTGGGAAATGTCTGGTGGTTGCCTTAGTTTTGAACTTGTTTACCTGTCAGCGTGGTAGATGGCTATCCACAACCATGTTTTTGGCTGCTGAGCCCTTCAGTCCTTCTTTTCTATTGGTTTTGTTTGTTTTGCTTTGACTGTTCTTTTATTTTGGACAGCCCACCGTCAAGTGAACAAAGTGCACTGCTGTGATCCATACAAAAAGTAGGTCCTAAAAAGCTTTGGCCCTATTTCTCCTTTAAACTGCTCAAAAATACCTGCTTGTCTGGGCCAGAATCATGTTCCCCAAATTTCCTGTTTAAATGTGCTGGTGCCAGAATAGAGTTTACAAGCTAATATTGCCAATCGCCCACCTGTACAGGTGCTTGGCTGCACAGTGACAGTGTTGACAGACTGTTACTTAGCCCCCTACCCCATACATAATTGGCAAAGATGAAAGCGTGTCTAAACCCAGAAAACAAAAATTTAATATATTGTAGTTTACCAATCCTTAGATGTGGTGGTTGCTTCAGTTTCCTGTTTTTATAGGTTTAGAATACATTTTTTAAAATTAAATTTGCTTGAAATGTTTGAGTCATGGATGTGCAATTTATATCGCCTTATACATGGGACATGCTGTTCAGAGTGCCGGGCAGGTCGTTCTTTCTTCTGTTTTTTTTTTTTTTTTTAACATTTAGCATTCAGCCCTGCTGTGGGTAAGCAACAGGGCTTGTCAGGTGGAAGCATTTGGGCGACTCTACTGCCACCCGACTGCTTTGACACATTGCGCTAAAGTGACAGCCCCTCGCCCCCCCAACCCGGGCTCTGCTTGCCCATCTGCCGGCCCAGGACCTGCATAGCGGGTGCCGGTGGGGTAGAGGGGAGGAATGAGAGCTCTGCAATGCATTACATTCATTGGAGCACAGAGGAGACATGCAGGGTCCTTTAGACACTAGATGCCTCAATAAAAAGAACCTGTCACCAAAAAAGCATTACATTGGGGACGTGATGTGATAGAAAAACAAAAATTGAGTAAAAGAAAATGTTTTTTTTTATTGTAAAAAATGAAAGTTACACCCAAGCACACAACCCCCTCCCCCCCCAAAATTGAGCCTCCCCACCGCCACACATTCGCATGTGCAAGCGTAAATGTACGCATGAAAATATCGATTGCAATACACATGTTACATATCACCGTGCATGCCAGAATGAGAGCAATAATTCTAGCATCAGACGTCCTCCACAACACTATACTGATGACCTATAGGGGGTTTTAAAAGCATTGCCTATAGAAAATATAGGGTACTAAAATGTGTCGCCATTTTGCACCTCTGCTGTAACCTGTAGCTCAGTCACCGCTTCCCCTGCAGCCCAAATTTCCACTGAAACCCAGTTTGGACTCTGTTCCACCTGCAGCCCTGTCACTACTGCATCCACAGCCAACTTCTCTGCTACATCCCAGCTAGCTCCCTGCTACACCTGCACCTCAGCCTTGACTCTGCTGAACCCCACACCCCATTCACAGGCAAAGTGTCTACTGCACACACAGGCTTGTCTCTGCTGTATTTGCAGCCTAGGTCTTTGTCTCCACAGCACACACCGCTAAAATCTGCATAGCACCCACAGCCAAAGTCTCAACTACACTTACAGCCTCCACTACATCTCAGATTCTTCCATGGTCTTTGTTGCACCTCAGCTACGCCCACAGATTTTGCTGCTGCTCAGGAGCTCCACAGCCTCCGGTGCACCATCTCTGCACCCGAGGTCTCCACAGCATCCATTCCAGTATCTCTGCTGTGCCATCTCTGCAATCATATTTTGTAGCCTCACTCCCTGGCTTCTAGCTACCTAGTCCCTCTTGTCTTTTTCACACACCAGTTCTTTTTACACCTCCCTTCTGTTCCTTGCAAGTATCCGTTGAGTGACATGGAGGTAGCCTGCAGGTAAGCCCAAACACCTGTGAAGTGGATTCCCAGCAGAACACCAGCTACCCCTCAGATTTCACTCTCAAAGTAAGCAATAGTACAAAGGAGTTGGGTCATCATCTCAGGTTGTGATATAAGAGCTGGCAATGGTCAGTTCAAGAAACAAGAAGATGAAAAAAATGTATGTCGCAATAAATGTTTTCTGCATAGGTATACTTTGGTTTTCTTTTACTATAGACAAATATTTTTAACTTCTGCGACCTGTATTTTACTCTTTTATAAGGGTGAGTACGTGTGTTTTTGCAGAGGTTAATATACTACTTTTTTTGATATCCGTTTGTGCTGTATATCCCTGTTTGACTGATAACTCCAAAAAATGAGAGCTCAAATAGATTGCCATTAATAATACTTAAACATTAAATGTGCTGAATGACTGGCAGATTCATTTAAGTGATGAAGGGATGAAGTGTGTACAGTCATTATCCATGTGTAAATGTTTTGTCTTTTGCTATAAAGAGGGTTTTTAACTAAAGGAATTGAGAACTCTTCATACAGTAATTTGTGTGAATATTTACTTTAGTTATCCAGTCATGTGCAGAAAAAAATAAGTAATGAATTGCTTTTCACATAATTGGATCATTGAAGTTAATATTCACACAATTTATTGTGTTAAGATTCTCAATGCCTTAGTCCATTGTCCTTATTGTATCTGACACATCTAGTCATCTAACCCACCTAACTAGGATTCTGTGCCTTGAACATACCTGTTGAGATGGAAATTTAGATAGCTGCTCTGCCTACCTGGTTCTTGAGCTGCAAATTGCAGAACTTTCATAATTCTATTTTTTCTTTTTTTTTGTAGAATTTTTTTTTTGTGTTATTGCTATTTTTCCACTACTTTCTGATTCAATTACCCCAAAAAGCATACAACCCAATACTTCTACTAAGTTGCACTGGAGTAAGTGATTCACAAGTTGTGAAGTCACTGTGTATGCAAAATCAATGCAAAGCACTTCAGAAGAAACTCACGGACTCATCATCCAGTAAAGTTAGTGTAATAGTTTGAACAAACTCCAATTGTTTGCTTGTTCCATACAAATCCATGGG